TGACAGTTTCTGAAATATTCGCGATTTTGTGGTAGTGACTGCATTTCGACCAAACTAGTATAAGTATGAAATAAAGTCTTTCGAGACAACTCTGGTTATTCTTGGCTCTCCTCGGGGTTTTCAAGTGAGTAAATGGCTCCAGTTGTTTGCCAGTCATTTTCAGTGGCCGTTCATGCGGTCCAATCGCGGTGGCAGCAGTGTCAGACCGTTTTTCCAACATTTACAATCATGTGACACCGTCTGAACTTCGGCAGAAGTGGGATGGAATCTTTCGTAATAAATTTGCCATGAAATTCGTGACTGGGTCCGTCATAGTCGAGCAAGTAGCATCTGTTTCGCTTTTCTGTCTGGAAATTTCATTCGACAAGTTCAACGTGCTGAAATCATCCTAGCTGAATACGAAAATGGAGCTACTCTATTAAATTGTTGAATATGCAAACTCCGGAGTCTGTGTAGATTCCTCAGTACAGCATGCGTCCTAAAAATCGATTTCGGCTACTTGTATCCGCATCTCAGTCGAGTCGCCTCTCATGATTATAGGTGAACAAAAGGATAAAAATTGCTTGAGCAAAAAAAAATTATTCTTAAATCCTCTACTTCAATCATGACAGATCGGAATTGTTGGCGCAGAATGTCAATCAATCCAATTCATTTTCCATTACCAGTGAACAAGAACCCGAAGTCGGTAAATTTTCTGCTTATACGAGGAGTACAGCTGGCACGGAATCACTACAATACCTGAACCACAATTGATAATAGAAGAATATCGACTTTTCGCCTTAGACACGTTCACGCGCTTGCCATAACGACCACACTGTCCTCGCTGGCGGATGCTATCTGAGAACACTGGCGATCAGTCTCGGAAGAAGAGCAAAACAGGGTCTTTCCAAACGACAAACTTCTCTCGACATCTCTTTCTCTGACACACTCATCACACTGACGGTACCGGAATTGTGAGCAGGATGTTGCCGTATTGGAGAACCGAGTCAGCGTTGAAACTTAATGACGTTCATTTATTTTGTACTTCAGTTTTTTTCCATTTATTATTTAAATAATTTTGAACAAATTGATGAACGCGACATCTACTGCACTATCAGTAAAATTTGCAACGTTTATGAATGAAAACGACCCTGAAGATATATCAGAATCCATGTAGTTGCCCTCACTCTAATCTACCGGATTTGTGGCTGGGGTTTGGCAGTAAGACCAAATAGGTAATGAGGCTCACAAGCAGCTACGAATGTTTCAAAGAGAGAGAGATAACATAACGGGCAGAAATGTGCGCCAACTGCTATGCAACACCGAACGGTTATTGGAAAAGAATGCTCAGAAGAACTTCATAAAACTTGTAAATTAATACTCATTTGTATACAAAAAAGCCAAGAAAAACAACGTTTCGATGGAAGTGATATCGATCACCAAAATTAACTAGTTCATTAATTATAATTCATGTCAGTAATTAATTTAATCCTTCATCAAGATAATCCTTAAAGAATCGACTCGCGTATGCGCCATAATCTCAGAGAATTTCTGTGATCCCATGAAATTAATTCAAATAATGAATTTTTTAGGCTGACAAATGTGCATACTGAAAAAAATTTTATTTTTGCATTGTCTATCTGTAATGGCAGAAATAAAGTACGAATAAGTATACTACGCTAAGAAACCGTGATTTTAAACAAAACTTGCAAAGTGCTACAAAATTTGAAGTCGCCGTGTATGGAGTCCACGCGTTGCGGGTAACTGAAAAAGAGGACATCCGAACTAGAGTTTGTAGAGTGCAAATCCGTACTTGCTACGATTTATTTACAATTATGTGTTTTTGCGTGTTCAATGATTTAGAAATTGGAAGTTTTTCGTATGTTTCTGTATATCTTTTGGCGCAGAAAACAAAGCTTTTTCATAATACTGACTGACATGATCGGGTTGACAGAGTTGCCCTGTTTGACGATGGTGTAGAATTTCCTCGTTCTTTATTCTTTTCAAGGCTAGCTCTTTACTTTGAACATTTGGACCACAGCGGCATTACCAGCTTGCTTTGTGGCCGAAACATGTAGTTAGAAGTGTTTAATATCGCTGCCTTTCTTAGTTGGCGACACTACAGTCTTGACACTCGGTGTTGTGTTCGAATCCGCTGAAGGGACAACTTCCACGAATTGTCTTGAGTATGGAATTAATCCCACGCTGCTTCGGCGCAACCAGCCGAAAAATGGGTGGTAGGTCTGTGGTTGCGAACAATAGGGACTTCAGTGTGGTCGTACAGGGATGGATGAACTGTTAAGGTCAAGTAGTCTGATCCAAACGCACACTGTGATTACATTTCGCCTTGACCCACTTGATAGCTGATTTTCCAGTTTGATTATTAGCAAAAAGTGTAGCCTAGATTATTTTATTACTATATTA